TACCTAAAAATATACCAAAGAAATAAAAGAAAGTTTTTTAAGTTCAAAAGGAGGAAAGGGTATGGATGAGAGGTAAAAAGACAGAAAAAAGAGGGATGAAAAACAAGTTATGGATACATGGATGAGAAGTAATAGAATGATGAAAAGTAAGAAAAAAAAAAAAGAAAAACAAGGAGGCAACCGAAAATAAAAGCTTGTTTGATTTTTAATTTTTAAAAATCATATTTTAAAACATTTTTAAAAATCTATTTTTAAGAAGAAAATGAAACTAAAACTTGTTCGTTAGTTTAGTTTTCAAAATTGTTTTTAAGATGAGAAAATAAAAAAAACTTGGTTGATAAATTTATTTTTAAAAAGTTTTTAAATTAAATAAATATATAAATATATGTATTTATATTCGATATTTAATTTTAGTATTTTTATTTAATTAAATATATTTTTATATTTAAAATAAAATATTAAATTAAAAATATTAAAATATCAACATCTAATTAATATTGAATTAAAAATATCCTTATTTATGAAGTAATGCTTGCAATTTATACATATTTTAATAAATTATGAAAATTATAAAATATAAATTAATATTAAACTAAAAATAATGATTAATTTTTGCATCATAATTTTCTACTACCCTAATTGTTAGAGTTTTAAATGTTCCATCAATTTTTATAGGTTGAGTTACTAGTAGAGTAATAACATCCAGTGAAGTAATTTTAGTTAAACAAGAATGATAGTGGTGTTCATAAGAATCATATTTGGAATAAATAATTCACAGACCTTCATACTTCTCGTTGTACCAATGATTCTATAACTAAACTTTACTAACAAGGTAAGATTGAGATCAATTTTAACACAAATATGAACAAATTTTTCTATCCATGTTCATGATTTTAGCCATTTTCATATTGTCATTAGTAATATATGACAAATTTTAAGATAAAGTCAATTTTTACCTTCCAATTCAATTCAAACAAACCCATGATAATATTTTCTTGTGGACCTGAAAATAGTGGAGCCTTAGCACCTATGAACTTAGGAGTATAAGGAGGAGGAGTGAGAGGATTTATTTTTCCAAAGTCTAGTACCTCACAAGGTTTAACGGTGATTAAAGAATTTTTATTTTGTACCAAAGAAAACAAACTTCATAAAAAACTAATTACGTTTTGTGCGTGTATGAGCTTTTAAAAAATACAACATAAATATAGAATAAATACTTCGCAAATCTTATCCCATTGCTATATCTATGCCACTACTCTCTCTCGTTGAACAAATTGAATAAATGGGCTTAGTTTGGTTGAATAATGCTCGTTTCCTTTCAACACCTTCACGACCCTTTCCACGTCTTGTTAATATTTTCATCCCTTAGTTTGTCATAAACTATCCCTTTGAGCGATTATATAATTTTAACTCATGATATGACAAAATTTTATTTGTGGTACTTTGTTTTGTTATAATATTAATTAAGAGAGAAATTATAAAATATTAATTAAGTCACAAGAATTAATATATATTATAATAAGAAAAATACATTAGGCCGGCTAATGATTGGTTAATTTACAAATTTTTGTTGACTAGTATATAATTACAATTTTAATCATATCAATGTATTAAGCATCCCGCGTGGATTCCATTTGGTGCCGACAAAAAAAGTGGCATAGACTGAGATTAGGGTTCACCTAAAAGAATAGACAGAGATTAAGGACTCCTTAGAATTAAAATATATATTGTGACCGTACAGCATAGTAATGGCATCTTCAAATCCAGCCTTCAATATTCTCTGGAATCCATTTGCACCACAGAAAATGTTATTTTAAATCTACCACTTTAGTCCTTATATTTGAATATGTGGAGAGCCTATGACATATATATAAGCACCTTTTCTCCATACTGATGTGGTTATAAATAATGCCCCCATGATTATTTAAGTATCAGCACTACCATAAAATTATTATAATTTTGATCCAATCCATGATCACATTTTTATCTTATCCGACGACTTTATTCGAAACTTGGTACAAATACATAGAATGTGACTGCAAAAGATGAACAATATAACAGCCTTTTCAAAGCTAATTAATTCTGAACGACGAGAGCAACCATCATAATTCTTATAATATATAGGGAATTTTAACACGAGAAAAAAAATTGGAACATCACAAAAGCAAAAGAGAAACGACGAAGAATAAAAGAATTCCTATGCTTTTGATGAGCAGCCTTGGAGTAAATAGTAGCAATATGTAGCAACTAGCAAGTACAGTGAAGCTACTTGCTTACTTTTCATCAATTGGCCATTCATAAAGCGAAGTCAAAATACACGTGAGATACTAAAAGATAAAAGGGGTTTAAGACTCATCGTCTTTTTTAATTATTTAATTTGTTCTGACTTGGACTTAGTTATGTTAAATTTGAGTTCTATAAATTAAATTGGTGTGATTTTAGCTTAAGCTTGAAGTATATCAAATTTATATGCCAGATAACTCATTATAACTTATTTCTTTGAAGACTATTAATTATTTGTGAGACTCCTACACTTATGTATTAATACATTTTTAAATAACATGATAATATTTGTGTTTACATAATTTATTTTGAAATATTTTTGTAAAATATTCCTTAATTTTAATATTTATTTCTGAAATCCTAGTCATGATTTATTTATAATATCTAAGTTTATACATTATGTGCATGTTAGATCAACCAAATTATCAGTCGAGTCATTATTAAGTTAGGTCATTACAAGAAAAATAAATTAGTAGCTAATTCAGCAATCAATAAACATTGATATATATCAAATTAAAGTGTCCTTTTCTATCATATTTTAGCAACTATATACTAATAATCGAATTTACCTAATTATTCAGTCACCAAAGTCATTGCTAAGGCATATGAAATTAATTTTGTATGAATTATGAACATTGAAATGAAGTGTGTTCCCTGTTAACAATTAATGATATTGATGGATCAAGAAATGATTTAGGAACGCAATTTCCTAAATAAAGAGATGACTATCAACTAAAAATGAAAATGGGTACATCTAAATAAATGTATTATAAATTCTTTTATTATATATCATCTTGAAAACTTATTTGTACTCATACTTATATCTCTGCGAGTGATCATTTTGATTCTTTTATCTTTAAACTTAAATTCTCATGTTTGTTAACTGAAACATGATTCTTTTAACATTACTCTGTAAATTAATAACGTGTAAATATCTTGTCATTAATAAAGAAATTAAACAAGGTAAAAAGTTACAACAAAATTATTTATTTTATGTATATTAGTACGGGTAAGTAGATATAGATACTATAATATTTATATTTAACAAAATTTTTAAATATTACTTATACTTAAATTGAAAATTCATTTAGTTAGTTTCTGTCATATTATAAATATTTTTTGCAAATACTTAATGATAATAGGGGTCATTGCCATTCCTACTGTCAATTGTAAATGCCACCTTTGAGATGAAAAAAATGGAAACTGGCCAGATTAATTTAGTAACTTTAAAAGAATTTAATTTATTTTTGAAAAATTAAAATTTAAGTTTGATATATTTAAGTAAACATAGACTAATTTTTAAAAAAATTAAAAATTGTTTAAATAGAATGAAAGATGGGCATATAATAAATTACAAGCTTGAATCTTTATTTATGTCATTTGAATGAATTAAAAGTAATTTCTTTGTAAATAATTCGAATTTAAAAGCTTTTAGAACCAAACTAATTAAGACTTCCCATCTCTCAAATTTATGTAAAAAGGGCTTTATTTTAAAATCTAATATTTTTTAAAAAAAATTTAACTTAACTTAAAAGTGTATATTTAAAACTTGATTTATAATATAACTTATAATTAATTAGTCAATGAACTTATTCTTAAATAAGTTAACAACATAAACTCAATGAGTTTAAGTTTTTAGATAATTCAACAAGTATATAATTTAGAATTAATATAATAAAAACTTCATACAATAATCATGATAAATTTTCCTTTTTAATTATATAAGTAAGACCTAATTGTACAAATCGGGCAATATCGGCATCAGTGGGCTGTCTTCTTCCTGTTCCTTGTCCTCATAAATTAAATAATTATTTTTCATATACTGTTTCTGTTCTACTGAATTTCCAATGCCATTAGAATTTGTGTAATCTGCGACGTAAACAAACAAACGCTTAGCCGAACGACTCGTGTTTCAATTTTAATTAACCAAAACATGTATTATTGTCATATTGTATGAAAAAAATCATTTTTCATTACAAATTAACGTGATTAAAAAATTAAGTCCCCTAATAAGTTAAAGAATAAAAATAAGACAAGATGACCTAGATAATCTGCCTCTTCTTTCGTACAGATTTAATAAAATGTTTTTCATACAAGCTACCAATTAAGCAATTTCCGAACTGCATATAAAAAAGAAAACGAAAAAGCAATTTCCAAACTAAAATTTAAAAGTATTTTTTAAATATATATTATATTATACTATCATATATATAAAATAAATTCCCAATAACCTTTTATCGAGAAAAAAGTCCACTAACCTAGCTTTAGGAGGAATTTCTTGAATATATATACATATATCCTGAAGATGTCATGTTTATCTATCCCAAAAACATAAAACACCGTCTACTCATTTGAGAGTTGACAGCATATATAATAATCTTTCCGCCTTGCACCACAAACATCATTCAGGAATATTTTTCAAAGCTCTATGCAGTTGCTTTGGGAATTTCCCAGTACAAAACTAGCTAGCTAGTTAAAAGAGTCTTTTGGAGAGAGTACACAAATATTGTGAGCTCAAAAAGCCCAATTAATCTTCAACGAGGGAAGAGCAACGAAGAAAAAAGGACTGTAACTGAAGTAAGGAGCTGCTGTGATATCAAATATCAAATATCAAAACATTGTAAAAAGTGTAATTAAGGTCTCTCAAGCAAGCTTCATAGGCAAGCTAATTTAGCTCGATTACTTTTGTTTTGGGATCTTCACGATTTAAAATAATTATGGAGTTTTCCAGTTTCCATCTTCAGCATCAGCTTCAAGAAGAATCTGCTCAGTGTATAGCTTCAGCTACTCCGCCATCTCTCTATAAACCTTCTACCACCACTAGTCAATCATGGATCCCAAGCACCATATAGTAAGTGCCTAACTTTTTATTTATGCCGAAAATCCTTTAATCAGAACTGAACCCTTCCATAACCAGAGATATGTTGTGATATTTGAATTCTTTGAACTCCCTCGCTCTCTCGATAAAATTAATAAAGTGGCCTGTTTCTGTCTATTTTTGGGGGCTTGTGAGTGTTATTCAAGAGATTTAACTAAGTTTAGTATTGCACATGTATGATCCTTTTGGGAAAAGAAGATATGGGAAATTGTGTAGTAAAAAAGCTTACATCAGTTTGCACAGAACTTTCCACTAAAAATCTTTTAATTACTAAAGTTTTTTGTGGTGCTGTCATCATTTTCACATGCCCTTAAGTAATTCTATATATCTTAATTTGATAATTTCACATTTGATTATAATTTCAGGATTACTCTCTGCTTTTCTTTGATTGTTTTTTAGTTGTTTCATCTTTGGAACAGTGCAATAGCACCCATTAGCTTATACCTACGTGTGAGTTTGTTTGCAGCAATGGTTCTACCAGTGGGTTTATAACGGGGAGCTTTAACAATTCAAGAGAACTAGGGCACAAGCACACCATGATTGATTCACTTAGAATTTCAACTGGGCAAGCCTATGGTTTTCACAATGGAAAAAGCTTCACTCAACGGCCAGCTAGTGATGATCTCTTTCCAGCAAAAATCAAAGGCGAAATGAACAGAAGCTCCTCGAAGTCTATGAATGAATCATGTTCATTAATCTCAACACATGAACCACAACATTCTCCTAGTTTCTTATCTAATATTTCTGTAACTGGTGAGGAGTTTTTTCCTGAGGAGGAGGAGCATCATGTTCACAAGCCTATAGATGGAATAGATGGAGGGATGGCCCTAACCAAGAGATATAACTTTGGAGATGTTTCCTCAAATTTACCAACCCTAGATATGTCCTCTTCGATAGTTTCATGTTCTTTGGGCTTAAATCATCAAGCGTTGGGTCTGCATACAAGTTATAATAATGGGAGTTATGGCCTCCAACCTTGCTATGATACTTTTGGTCTTAATGAGGCCATATCATTAAGCCACCGCAACATGCATGGTCTTGAAAGTAGTCCAACAAACAGCTCTCAGAAAGTGGGTAATTATATTTTCTCTACCTCACTTCTCACATACAAGAGTTACCTAAAGTTTGAGTAAAATATCTTAACAACCAGAGAGAAAAAGAGTACACGAACTAAAGAAATAAAATGAATCAAAATTATTTTTGCATATAAATTAATTATTTTAAATCCTTTTCACTTAACATTTTTATTAGTTAATTTTAATTTATATAATTTATTTTAATTTTTATAAATATTTATTGAAAAATTTATCCAAATTTACTCGTAAGCACGTTGGCAATTTCATTGAAATAGTTTTTAGTAGGAGTTAGTCTCTTTATATATATATATATATATATATATATATATATATATATATATATATATATATATATTTTACCAATATAATGTAGCACAAACCTTTAAGACATTATATTCAATATTCATACATTTGTTTTTACAATAAATGGTACAATAAGGAGAAAGATAAGAAGAGAAAAGAAAAAAAGTTTATGATAAAATAATTGATGTGATAAAAAGAGATAAAGAAAAATGTTGTATAAATTAATGGAAGAATAATATAACTCAAACTCTTGAATCATTATTGAAAACAGATTATACAAAATTTTAACTCTTAATTCATTCTTTACTCTGCTTACATATATATCAATTATCTTTTCAGTGATCCTATTCGACTCGCTTAACCTTTTCACGTGAATTATAGATTTCATCATTCACAAGTGAAGTTGCAATGAAAAAGAGGTCTAGCTGTTGCTCTCTACCAAAAGAATATGAAGGAAAAGCTAAGAAGTCAAGGTCTTCATGCCCTTCCCTAAAGGTTATATTTTATAATAAATTGGAATTTAAATTGATGTTTTATAATCACTTCCATTAAAATAAAACTGGGCTAATGTGGAGTGAGTTCAAACCAGGTCAGAAAGGAAAGATTAGGAGATAGGATCCAAACTCTTCAGCGATTAGTGGCACCTTTCGGGAAGGTACATCATATATGTCTGATCTTTGGTTTAGAGGTCACTTATTGGTGTATTTATATTAAATAGATATAAGTAATGCCAATAATTTTAGGCCACATATCATGATTTCCCAAAATCATATGTATTTTTTTTTATTTTGTTGATTTTTCTTTTATATATTTTAAATTATTTTTTTTGTTTTTAATTTGCAGACCAGTACAGCCTCTGTTTTAAGTGAAGCTATTGGCTACATCCTTTTCCTTCGCCAACAAATCCAGGTGGGTATTTAGACATTACTACATCAATTGTTCTTCATTAAACAAAATAATTTTAATTTTTTTTCTGCAAATGCGGCTATATGTGAAGGTTGCTTATTGTGTCTCTGAGTTTATAATATCATTTCATTAAAAATATTTCAAATTTTGAATTTTTTAAACTATTGCTCTAAGCATAAATTAAGTTAAATTGTATTAAAAATTAAGAGAGTCTTTTTAATTTCTTTAATAAAATTTATTTTTAATTTCCTAGCCAATACTTTTAAAATATTAGTTAGCATTTTTTAAAAAAAAATTAACCACTATTTTAAAGACATTTATTAACGTTCTCCAAATAGCTTCACTGTTAATTTTGACTGTAGAGGCTAGGGCTAGCTGAAGGCCTTGAAACTATAGAGAATGGGAAGACGCAGGAACGAATAAACGAATTGCGTTTGTATATATTTCTTCGATACTTATATGCTCTTTGTTCACTGCAGACTTTGAGCATTCCTTACATGAAATCCGCGCAAAACAAGCCCTCTAGAATGGTGCAGCTGGTAAGACATGCATTGCATATTCTAGTTTTGTTGATATTTCAGGCCATGATTTGACTCCTAAGTGAAACATACAATTTAGTGGATGAAATATGGAGTTATATTTATTTATTAGATGATTTAAATCCATTCAAAGGAAAACCACACTTAAAAAAATAGAGTTATAACTGATAATTAGAAAAGTTGAGACTGTAATAATTAATTCTGATAATATCATATAATTAACTTCTCTCTCTCTCTCTCTCTCCTTTAAATCTTATGGATTCATGCGTATGTTGTTACTATTTTTGCTTAAATTAGTGCAGTCAGTTATGCAACGCTTAAAAAGGAAAAAAGTAACGAAAATAAAATTACGATTATGGTATAGAAATATATTAAATAATTAGAAACCCATCATACGCACTCAGTAAGTGTTATTCATTAATTTTTGCTTTCTGGCTACAGGAATCAAACGAGGATGAAAGCAGAGAATTCAAGCCAGACCTTAGAAGCAGAGGGTTGTGTCTTGTGCCCCTTTCTTATGCATCATTTATTAATCGTTGTTCTTAGCCATTTTCATATTGTTATTAGTAATATATGACAGAAAACTAGATAACCCAAAATTGAATCATAAAAGTTTATGGTATGCTTATTTTAGTTTGTGAACCATGACAAGCTGTAATGTAAAGAATATAGACGAGTTGGGGGGGGGGGGGGGAGGAATTAAAAAAATTTGCTTTTCATTATATGTTGAAAAGAATATAAATAGACTCGTCTTATATTTGTGCTATAAACAAATAGTAAAATAACTGTCGGATAAGGTGTAATTAATATGATACTCTCAAATTCAAAGATATGTTACATCTTTCTTATATAACAAGAGTGAAATAGTTCTTAATATTTCAAATTTTTATTTTCATAAAATGGAACGTTGGTTCAAGTAGTATATACTTTATTTTCCTTAAAATTTAAGGTTAAGTTTAAAGCGTATGAATGAATTTTATTTTTTTTTTACAAAAATTAGTCTCATTATGTTACGAATATTTTCAACTCAATTAAAAATTACTTCATGTAGAAGATACGTGTAACTTAGATTAAAAGAAATTATCTTTGTCATACATTAGTATAATTCCTTTTTCTTGTCAATCACACTGGTACATAAGGTTAAACAAACTTTTGACTGTTACCAGGATTGGTTTAATAAAGAAGACCTTGAGTAGTTTGCATGAGGTTATAAATTTTAACATCCTTGCTGATATTGCATATAAAAAAATTAATTGTATTTTTGGTTCATTTAGTTTCAATTATATGTGACTCAGTTTTTATATATTTTTTAGTTAATTAATTTTTAAAATTTTAAAATTATACAACTATTGCCTTTTAATTTTATTTTATTTAAAATTCTTAAAATTTTAATTTTTATTAAAAAAATCTTGAGAATTTGTAATGAAATTGGAATATGAAATAATTTAGAAGTGAAAAAACTTTGTGAACAATTGATAAAATTTAGAGAAATTTATAAAATGTGATATTAGTATTTGAAAAAAAATAAAAATCAAATTTAATATTTTGGTTTATTAATTTTAAGAAGAAGGTAAGTTCAATTTATAAAGACTTTGAGTAGAGAGAGAGAGAGAGAGAGAGAATTCAGGAGTTTTAAGTATAAAAAAATTCAACAAAGAACTAAATTTAAACTTAATTAACACAAAAATATTGATGAACTAAAATTCCATATAACCTAAAATCCTACAATAATCTTTCAAGTCAGTTTAGCTTTAGATTACACTTATGGAATTATGTGAACTAATTTGTATTGATTAATTATTTTTAGCGACAAAAGTGACATTCTCTCTCTCTCCCTCCCTATATATTTATTAGGAGAATTTGTGAAAACAATTTATTATATATATTTTTTATTTTTTTTAATATTTTTTTAAAATATTATTAACTAGGTTTTTTATTCATTTTATATCTCTTTCTCCTTATTTTTTTTCTTTATTTTTTTATTACATCATCTATCATTTTTTTCCTTCGTATTACTTTCTTCCTCAACCGATTGCACACCTCTGAAATGAGGTGTGAACAGATATTTCCCATAAAAATAAAAAATTGTGCGTTTGTGAGGGTTCGATTTTCATATGATATATACGTATAATTTCAGACTCGTATATTTACCAAAATATATTCATTCCACTGTTGTACATCCCAAATAGGACTGGCTTTTGCATACATAGTGCATTGTTTTTATATACATTGAAATAGTCCTATCATTAGAGTACTATCGGATATTTGTGGCACATCTTGTAGCTTTGCATTTTGGACATTTCACGTAATAATGGCTCATTTTGGAAGTCTTTGGAAAACCGAAAGAAGAATTAATACCAAGTTAGATTGAGTGCTCACCAAGCGAACTGCATTATAAGACAAACTATTAAATAATAATAATAAAAAAAAAATAGTTTTGTAAATAAATAACTACATTATATACAGGTATTAAGTTGAAAGGTACATATTAAGTTGTAAGGTACATACCAACTTCTTCTTCTTCTTCTTTTTCTCAATGTAAGCCGAAAGCTCATCTTGCTTGGAAAGTGAATCCTCCAAAGCCTATCAAAGCCAAACCATTGAAAAACCAACCAACCAAGAATTATACAATAATAACACTATAACAGATGGGAATTTCACATGGGAACACTATTTTAATGGTATGAAGTTTTACAATACTAAAAGGAAATTTGTTAGGTTGTTTACCTTCTTGGTCGCCAAAAGTTCTTGCTCCAAAGCATCAGCGCGGGTAATAGCAGCATTGAGCATTTCCTCTTTCTCAGGTGGCATGCAAGGGTTCTGGGTGTTCATGTTGATCATCTTCTCTTCCAACTCAGCCATGCGTTTCATGACAGTCATGAACTCTTGAGCTGAAATGACAGGGTTTGTCATTTGGTCAGAAGAAGGAATCACTTGGCTGCCTGAGAAATTCGAGTAGAAGTTGGCATCAGTGAGCTTCTTTGGCATGTTTCTTGTCATTCTCACCATCGTCACTATGCCCATCACAAATGCCATCACCCCAGTGAATATCTGGGAATTCACTTTTTCGTGAATCTTGCATGAATCAAGCATGGCGTAGGCATCTACTGGGGCTGCCATCAGTTCCACGAAACCATAAATAAAATTTCAGTCACACAAATTAAATGGTCAAAATCATCAAATGTTAACTAAAGTCGAGTCACATGATCAATTTTTTTAAAGTCTTATAACACTTCTCTTCCATGATTATACTGTCTATTAAAAAAAGAGAACTTGTATTTTTATACCTATTTTGTTTTATATTTATCTTTCATTTTCTTCTTTTTATCTCTCTCTTCCTTTTCTATTGCATCATCCTTCACATCTTTTACTCTCTCTCTCTCTCTCTCTCTCTTCTTCTTCTTTTCTTCTTAAGTTGCCTTTCCTCTACTCATTCCGTATCCCATTTTAGGAGTGTGGACAAATCATTTTCTCGAAAAAAGCTCTCTTTTTCTTTTTATATTTTCTCAAAAATAGTAAGCATAGGAAGAGGGGTAATTAACGATTTAGACATAAGAGTGACATTTTACTGCTTTAATTTTCATAGGCACCTCACAAGATTTTAAGAAATTTAGGGTATGTTTGTTTCCCATTTTTAAAAGAGTTTTTAATTTTTTTTTCTAAATATAGTATAAATTTATACTATATTTAGAAAAAAAAATTAAAAACTCTTTTAAAAAGAAAAATCAAACATACCTTTAGTCTTTTAGGAATACGTGTTATATATAAATTAGAGTTAACAAAGAAATACAATTGTATCCACCGTGTACCTTTGGACACTGCAAATGTCTCATTTTCTTCGACCTTTTTCCAAGCAGTTTTATCCGCAGCAGGGACAAAGTCCTCGTAGTTGTAAGCTTTAGTAGAAGGGACCTGTTAATTTTTTCAAAATTTTTGTACTTAGAGCTAAGTAACAAGGGGCATTATTTTTTCGTCTTGGATAGCCAAAGAAGGGTCACATGAAACTTCCAAAATATGCAATCTTCTGTGTAAACCAAAAACCATTTGAAACTACCAAAATGTACTACACAACACCATAGTTGAATGATCCACTTTAATGATTTAGGACGAAAATATATTCATTGACAAATAAATAATGTTTTTTTTGTTTATTTTTCCTTTAATATTAACCTCACTAACTAGATTTTGAGACCTGTAAGACTCTGACTATATATAAAGAAGTAAAACTAACATACCTGAGCGATGACAGAACACATTTGTGAGGTGAGATCTGCCTCCATCTTGGGAGTCTCGTGTCCCTAAACATGCTTATTTATTAGTTTGGAAGTTAAGCCATAACAGAAGGAAATGAAAAAAAACAAAAATAAAAATAAAAAAATGATTTTGAATAGGGAAAACTATGTAGAATTTAGAATGAAAATGCCAAATGAAAGTCCAATTAGTTATCTAAGTTCAAATATAACCTCAAATAAGCAATCTCACCTCATCAGAAGTTGTCTTCTCTTCAACGACAGGGGCCTCGCATTTTCTTGAACATTTGTGCTCATCATTTTGAACCATCTGTTAGTCCACATATTATAAAACATATAAGCCTGAGAATCCATAATGGAACACTTGGGCTTGTTTGTTTTAAAGTTCCAAAATCAATTGTTGCACTATCCAGACGTTCTAACAAAAACATGTGATATAGATTAATTAATGCCGGTATCTCAATCACATTTAACGGTTTTAAATCAATTTATAAAATCAATTCTATTCGATTTTAAACCAAACAGGTATTATTAGCTGAAATCATAAAAAGAGAAAAAAAAAACCCTTAGGATTTCAGCATCCTTCCAAGGACCCTTATCAGAACGCATGCAGCCTCCTTGATCAGCACAAGTGCAAGTGCCACCCAAAAACTCTGGCAACTCACTGGCAAAGCGAAACCAATGGATATAAAGATTGTCAATAACCTTAATTCAGAGTTGATAAAAGGTTTTGAAGACAGAATGACAAATGTGGAGTAGAAAATGGATTGAAGTAACTTGTGACACAAGGAAAATCAGGAACTACGATGTTATCATAAACTCACCTTGCATCAATCATTTCAAGCAATTTACTTTGATACTTGTTGCCAAGAACCTGATATAAATTATAAAAGTTCAATTAGATAAAATCCTATGATTTTCTTGACAAAAACAAGAAGAAATTTAGACCAGTTATTTGTTCTCACATGGATCTTCGATGTGGTCTTTGGGTCAAGGAAGGATTTTACAGTGTTCCACAATATTCTGAATCCGGAACCTGCATTGATGATGAACATGCGGTTCAAGGTCTGCAGTGAAGCCACAAATTTTTTTATATTACAACTCAGTAATCCACAATATTGAAAACAAACATTTCTTTTTTATGTAAACCTTAACCAATATAGAAGAAAAACATACTTCTGGGTAATTGTCACCATCAATCTTCTGAAGGGTCATGATGAGCTCCCTGGCATGTTTGTTGAAGTTCTTAAGCCCCTATACATCAAAACATCAATATTAAGTTTCCATTATCATCTTTTCATATTTTCCTCATTTCTTTTTTCTGTCATAGATATCAAGGCACATTTTGTTTACGTTTCTCAAATTTTAAAATTACTAATTCAATCTTGGATTGGCTTATAAATTAACAAATTCTAATACATACCACTCCTTGAACATCAAGGATGGTTGTGCTTTGATCAATGTGCTTCTTTGCAGCAATGGAGCAAGCTGGAAACTTCACATCAAAGGTCCTCTCAAACTCCTTGACATGGTATTTGACATAACGTTCCATGGTGGTGACTTGCATCAACTTGGTGGCATCTACTTGGCCCAATCTCTCAATGTACACTGGGCGTCCATCCTTATCAACACCATGATGTCCATGAGGATAATATTGCAACACTTCATCGAGTTCCTTGAATTCAAAATCCTAGTATAACAAGCACAAGATATGTAAACAAAAGAAGGAGTGGAACTAATTAAACATGTGGGAAATGGGGTTATTATATTGTAAAATTGTTAATAAATTCATGCAAATCTCACATATAAGATTGTTAAGTACCTCGATGATGGTGTCAGCACCAAATTCCTTCCTCCATTGAAGCATGTCAGACCACATTTGCTTTGATTTCTCAATGTCAAATTTCCTGGCCTTGAGGAACCTGTTCAACAAAAAACAAATAAATAGTGTTGGAGAAATTTCAAGTTTTTACTCAATAGTGTTGAGGAACCTGTTCAATAATAAATGATTTTATTATTGCTTTATTCTTTGAAATTTTCTATCTATATAATTTGATCCCTAAAGTTATCCATGGTGCTAACATACTCATCCTTTTCGGGATCAACTTGTAAGGACAAAACTTTCAAGGAACATTAGTAACATCTCTCAAGATACAAATTATATATGCTCTCCGTAACTAATGGATCCAATCATTGATGCAAATTTGAAAGAAAAATCAATAGATAATTAGATAAATCCCATTTTTACGATGTATATATATATATATATAAACAACGAAATGTGATTAGAAAAACAAAGGTAAAAAAACAACGCAAAAAAGGTTAAAACACTATACAAGTGTACCAACATTATTATCAGAATTCTTTTATAAAATAGGCTACATGATCAAAGTAATCATCTTAACAACTTAATTAGCTGAATTATATCAAATATATGACCCATTAGTATGATAAATATGAGGCAAGGAAGAAAAATGAACTAATTAACCTGAGCATCATATGATAATCATCGTGCTTCTCAGGGAGTAGCTCCTCCAAAACAAGAGTTTGGCGAAACTCATCAACAGCTTTCGACTCCTCAGCATCGCGGAAATCCTCAATTTCAACCGACATGACCTTGCTGCTGCTTCGTCTCCTGCTCCTCGTCAGGGAATTCCTTAGTTTCTTCTTCAATGAACCAACACGATCACTCTTTTCAAGAGCTGCAATGCAACCCTTTAAATTATTACATAGCTTATCAGATTTTTTCCAACTTATTTTAAGAAGTTTTATAGTGAAATTTATAAGATAAACTATCGTATAATAAGAGTTTATTAAATAAGTATTTAACTGATCTATGTTTTCAAGTGTAACTTTTAATTTGTTTTGAAAAACTAATCACTTAACTATGAAGAGTTTATGAAAAATTAGTTGATATTTCTCTATAAATAATCTCAACCAAATATTTACGAACTCATAACCATTATTCAAGTTTAACGCTTGTTAAAAAAAAATAAAGATGAAATAAATGAACCTGTCTTTGGGGACTGGGCTCCAGACATGGTGTAGCTTGTAATGATAGCTTCTGCCGGGTATTCAGAAGGATTAATCACTCATCATACAATAGCAGAAAGAAAAACAAAGCACTCCCAAATGCCCTGCATGCACGCAACGCCATCAATAAATAAATAATAATCCACTGAACATAATGCCATATATTAACAAAATCAACGTGCATGCAAACACACGAGGCTTATGATCAGAAAACATGAGCATGCCGGGTGGTTTTAATTATTAAATAGATGTTCTTATGACTATAAAGTGACGTGAAAAATATGTAAGAGAAAAGAAACGGAACTGAACACCGATGGGATTTGCAAATTTGGTGAAAAGAAAAGTGAGAAAGAAAAGATGGTTAAAAAGGAATGAGCTCTTGAAAGCGAAAGGGACGGAGAGAAGGAAAAATCCTGAAAATAGGGTCTATGTTTAAGAGACAATGAGGCTTCCACGAGGGAGCATTGACCAAGTCTTAGAGAAATAACGACAACGTTAATTGATAAATGATTTTCTAATTGGAGAAGAAAAGAGATATCAAATAGAAAGAAAGCAATAGAAGCTGTGGTTTGGGCGAAACGTAAAGCTATGCCATTCATATTGCAAACATCCCAGTTTCCCCGCCCTTTCCCAAACAGCAAAATTTTGTTTGTAATATGGGACACTTTATATATATATATATATATATTCAGGATGTATTTTTTAATGCATCTATAATAAAAAGATAAAACATATATAAGAGATAAGAATAATATATTACTGTGTCAATTTTTAATAGTTAAAAAAACTCTATCACGCAACACATTTTTTCTATTTTTAACGATTACTTTAGGACTATACTTCTTTAGCATAAATAAGTTGTTAGTCTGAAATTTTAATTTTGGTCTTTATAATTTTATTTTTTTAGCCTCTATATTTGAAAAATATTGGTTTTAGTCTTTAGTCATTGTGAAATGATGACGTAGTTAATTTAAATATTGCGAAGTGTTAATTTTTTATAATTTTTTTGTGTCACGTGTTTCTTTGAGAATGACCGAAATCAACAATTTTTAAAAGAGCAGAAACTAAAACATAGAGACAAAATTTAAAATATGATGTATTACCAAACTATACAACTCATCCCTCCTAATAATTTCTTACAGGCACACGAAAGGTTCAATATACACACTTACACGACTTAATTAGTTAAGAAAGTTGAGTTATTCTGAACTATTGTTATAGGAGATGTTTTACAATATGCTTATTAAACATGATTACATGCATTATAGCTTTCAAAGTAATTTTTTTTTTTCAGAGAGCTTAATTTTGATAAAACTATTAAATCTTTTGAATTATATCACAATGTATTGACGAGTAAAACCTCAAGTAGTTTTAGAGTTTAGATTTCACTTATAAAAGAAGAAAATTATATAACTTTACTTCATTATATAAATAAACTAAATTCAATGCATAAAACTTAACTTGTTTAAACTGATTCATCTGACTCTTTCATACAACGACTTTTTTTTTTTTCCTTTATTAAAATTTTCTAAGCAAATATTTATTTGTCGATTTTGCACTCAATGGAAAGCTTTATGCTAAAAAATAGAGTTGATAAAAATAAAATATAATCTCACTTTTATAACAACTTAAAAGTAAAAGAATAAAATAAAATCAATAACAAAAATTGAGTTTTTTTTAAAAAAAATTATGATTACCAATAACAACCAAGTCCATTTTATTAAGTGCAATTGACTACACAATAATTAAAAAAAATCTAGAAAATTAAAATTAAGTAAATAATATGTTAAGTATATGAAACTTTAAATAATCAAACTTAGCTTTAAACATGAGCTTAGTTGTTTAACTAAACAAATTAATTTGATTAAGCATTTAACACGTTAATATCAAGTAATTAATGATGATTTACAATCCTTATGGCAGAAATACATAACCTTATCATATGAAAATTTTGTATTTATTTCTCTTCATAAATATTTTCAAATTTTAATAAAATCCCACCTATGATTAAAAAAAAAAATAGACACAATTTTCATATAACATAAAATCCTGCTTATTTAAAATCTACGAAATGGGAGATAAATACGTTTTTTACATAATAAAGTAATAAGAAAAAGGATTCATCTATTCTGTGCAAGTTTGCGCAAGTTAAGCTTCATTAATTATACATTTTTAACAAATTGAAAAAAAGTAAATTGTACAAAGTAATGAGGCTTAAGCTATGCAAGTTTACACAAGATAGATAAATCGAAAGAAAAATCAACATGAGAGGACTCATTTCCTGTATCGACACTTCATTAAAAGATATTGTAATAATATATTCTGACGTAACAATAAATGATATACTATGATAGTTCACTCACAACTTTCTTTTGGTACAATGATAGACAATAATGGGTCCTAATGCACTCACAATGGACAAAAATTAAATCCATTTTAGATCTATATCAATTTCTTCCGTTACAAATATAGATCTTAGTTCTATCTTTTGACACTCTTTAAATGGTAGAACTGTTAGCAATATCCTACTAGGAGTGAGTCCTTAAATAACAGGTTCATGCAATAGTTATACAACGGTAGAGTTCCTGTATAATAGACATGGATTCAAACCCCTTCCCAAAAGCAAACAAACTAAAAATGTAACAACGATTATACAAGCCCAAAATCCAAAAAAATATGAACAAGATAAACTGCAGATTCTTCTTTTATGATGCCACCAGCTGATTAAAGTTAATCAGAATCAGAATCAGCAATTACGGAGGATCTAATGGCTCTATGTTTATTTTCATGATATGAATCGTCTGCATCATCCTCATCCCTCTTCTCCTCAATAACGCCTGTCAAATGACAATTAAATAACTATCCAGTCAATAAGAAACGAAAAGGGCAAGTAGGAGCATTACCTTTTTTTATCAGCAGAGCCTCCAGTGTTTTTGACATAAAATCATCTTTTCCTCCCAGGTCTTGAAATCCTATCAATCTATCTACAGCTACTCCTTGTCTGAAAAAAGAAACACCTTAGCCAATGTGTATATATATATATATACTCCGTCAGTTGAGTTCAGTGACAACAGCATTTTATTTAGTCCAGGCTAATTTCTGCCACCAAACATCTATTAGCTCCTATCGTAGGCACAGCATGATAAGATATCAATTTTATTATTGTGTTTATTTTGGGCGAGGGGGAAGGGGTTATCCACTTCAATACACAAGGCAGTCAATTGACCAAGATCAAAAAGGTATAATATTTAGGCCTCACCTGAACAGTATGACACAGGGCAAAGTCTTGACAGCTAGTTTTGCAACAAAGAATGGCGCATTCTGCATTTTATTTTCAATAATGAACTTCACTCATTATGCACCAAGACAAACGATTGCTTTAAAATAATATGTCTAATGTTACAGTTACATTGACTCAACCCCTGAGCAAACACTAAATCATCTCTATAGGACTGTTCATGGCAAGCTGACCTCTGCATCAAGCTTGATAAATTTTGTATCAATATGCTTTGGAGAAAGGGACTTTAAGTGCTTATCCATTATCCTGGAAACATTCATTGATACAACAGGCACATATAACCATGAACGTCAGAAATTAAGAGACAGATAGACGTAAACAGTCAAGGAATAATATTTCAGTGAAGAACATACTTGCATCTATAGAACTCCTTATGGTAGAAGTGACAAATCACTTTTTCACTCCCAGTGACTTCGCCTAAGAAATCCCCCTCGGTTATCTCCCTGTATTCTCCATGACCTTTCTTCTTCCATGCCTCCCGTTTCTCTGCTTCTTTCTATTAAAGACAAATCCTTTCATGAATAACAAATCACTAAATAACAGAAGGAAAACAAAATGAATATAATTATGCTTCTCGGTATATATGGTGATGGCCACCTTAAGAGCTGCAATCCTATCTGCATGCATTTTTTCCAACTCAGGATCCTGACATCAACATTGTGTAGACCAGTTAAATTAAAAATAAGGGATATACACATATACATATTTGTTGAGGTTGAAAGGTATATGACGCATACATCCATTAACTCATCGAGGTCAACCTCTTGATTAACAGAATTTGATGCCTGTGCCTTCTCTTGAGCAAGCAATTCCTGCAGGGATCACAATATGTGTTACATTACATCAATAAGTAGCGGCTGGCAAAAGAATTATACATAACAACAATCTCCAGAGAAAAAGATTTTTCGAGAAAGTAATACTTAAAGACTACCCAAAACATACAGTATTCAACTATTCACCATCTATGGTAAGCTTCTCAAATGTTATCCAATATTAAGAATGCCTTATAAGAAAAGAAGCAAAAGATAATCAAAGGAAAGTGTTCATGGAAAAAACTCGAGCAATATTATAGGTTGAGTCCCGATTAGTTCAATTTTACTTGCACCGAATGAAAACACACGCAAATGCATAGCCAGATTCAAATTCAAGTAGTAAACAGAACATTATAATACAATAAATCCACCATTTTAAAACCAGCTAATTATTTCGCTCTTCTTTGTAAAAAATGACTTAAAAAATCACGAAACATGTGTATCGAAAAGGTTAAAAACAATAGAATCAGCTAACCAAACAAAAAGCAATTACGTCCGAAATAGCATAAAACAGCAGTAGTGAGAATGAGTGGTGTTAAGACCTAAAATTGACACGTTGGACAAAGAGGACTTAAGATCTCACACGTGTGTTAAGCGTAAAGCACAAAATGAATTGTGGGTGTGCTTATTTTGTTCCCATTGCATACAAATTCGTCAGAGAGGGGTTTTTGCATAGTGAAGTGAAAAATTAAATTAAATTACCTTCTGATAATCGCGAGCAGCTGCAGCCATTACGTTTCCAAATGCCAGATTGGACAGAGTGGACTTAACTGCGTTTGGATCCATCTTTACAATCTAAAAAAATCAGAATCAAAATCAGGATAAGGACTTTAATATAATAATGATTGAGAGGGAAATTAAATGTTGCTCACACCTTAAAGATCTGTACGAAGGCGCAGGGATCTCTTCGATGTGGTTGCCAAACGTGGGAAGCGAGAAACTTTTTCAAATATTTGAAGCTATGCTTGCTACGCTATTTTTCTTTTGTTGATGGAAGCTGTAGCTATCTGTACCGTCCACGAAGGAGACAACGGAAGGGAAATGGGCTGGGGCCCATTAGATGAGAAAATTTGCTGTGGCCCAAACTTTCTAATTGGATTCGTAATGACAAACAAAATGGGTCGCTTTTTCACCCCATTTGTGTTTATTGCACTGCACTCCTCTAATTAAAAAAAAAAGTTATGATAATAAAAGTTATTATAAAATAATATAATGACTATTATCTTTTTTTTCATGAACCTCTTTGATTTATTTAAAACTTGGATTTTCAAAATTTAAGTTTCAAAAATTATAATTTTGTTTTTGAAATTTAAATTTTGGAACTTATGATTACAATAAAACTTATGATTACCATTCCTTCCGGAATTAAATTTTCGAAAATTGATGATTGAACTTCCAAAAATATAGAGTTATGGCATAAACAAGCAATAATCTAGTAAGTAAATGTTAGAGGCTTTGTCCTGCATCGACCAAGGATTTATTATATATGGTTTCCTAGTTCAGCACTTGCATGGTTGGTGCATGTTAGCAATGATTTTCTTATCCTATGCAAAGGTAACGAGCCAAGAAAATTACCCACAAGTTGGTCCAAACCTAAAACACAATTTGGTGAACAAATTATCCAATTGGATGGAGAATGGAAGTGATATGATTATTCCTCGAAGAATGAAATATTTAAGTGGGAGAGAAGAAGACATTCCAAGAAAAGAAGATAAGTTTTAGGAGGAAAAAGAATAGAAAGTTCAGATTTCTAAAAATAAACTTTATTTATATAATAAAAAGGGTATTTTAGAGAAGAAAAAAAAACTAAAACAATATATATGACTGGTATGAAATATAAAAAATAAAGTGTAAAAATTATTCTTTGAAACAAATCTCGAAGTAAATTTAATTTTCTAATATATGAAGTAAACTCCTCACTTTAAAATGTGGCCCAAATTTTTTTAGTTGACGTAAAAAAATACAATATTTAAAAATATATTATTTATTATTGTAATTATTTAACTTGAATTGGAGATATTTTTTAAAAAAACAAAATCTTTACAATAATAATATTAACTAATAAGAGGATTTTTATTTTCTATTTATAATTATTAAATAATTAACAATAATTTAAATTCAAATTAGATGAATTTTGTCTGTTGAACCAAATTATCTTCCAATTAAAATTTATAGATTTAATTCTTAGTTCAAAACTTAAGGATTTGAAAAACAGCTAGCTGTAAATTCATAATTTTTAGACACTCATATATAAGCTTATTTTATAATTAGCTCATATTTTAAGTAATAATAGTAATAACAAAAAATAGAAATATGAATTACTTTTTAAAAATGCAATACTTGTTTTATTAAAAGAATAAATTAAAAAAATCATAAACAGTTTTGTAAAAATAATGTATAAATTACTCAATACTTGTGTTATAAATTTGAAACATATAAATTTATTTCATACTTTTATAATATAATAAGATAAACAAGATTTGAAAATAAAATTCAAATAAATATTTCAATTATAAATGTTGTTTTTATATTAAACATGTAAATTATTTTAAATTTCATTTTATTTTAAAATACTAGATATTTTTCTATTTTTTCTTTAAATAAAATAATTAACTTTTTTTTTACATAATGATTTATAATAATGATGTATAGATTGTTCTATTATTTATATATTTTCAAATCGTATAAGGGTGTATCACTTTAGTTGCAACAATATTCGGTACATGAACACATACATTATCCAAAATCTTATTGTGTTTCAAAATACTAAATATTTGTCAATCATTTCATATAAAATAAATAAATAAAAATTAACAATAACTTTTTAAACTTACACAACAACTAAATATAATGATAGATTACTCTATCATTTACAAATTATACAATTTTTAAAATAAAAATTTTCATCTTGTTTTTTATTTAAACTAAAAAATAAAAACAAAAATCTTCTTTTTAGTCATTCTATCATAAACTTTTCAATAAGGTTTCTAATTTTAATTTTATACCTTTGAGAAGGATTTCACTTCATAACTATATAGTCTTGATATTTTTCATAATATCGTGAAATACATAGGAGTAGAAGAGCTGAATTATTTTAAAACATTTTTTCTTTTAATTTTTTAATACACTACATATCAAATTTAAGAATGAAATAAAATTTTAACTTTTGTATAATTTAGGACAATTGTTTTTATAGACGTAAGATACAAATACTTGCCCATACGTAATTAGATTCGCAAAGTTAGATATGGTTAAATAAATCACTTTTTAAAATTTTTAGGGTTCTTTAAAAATCTTATCAACAATTCCTTCAATTTCAGTTTTCCTTTTTTCTATTTTTAATTTGTCATTTTTCATTTTTTTTTTTTTCCTCGTAGCAACTTTGGAGGTTGCAAGTCAGTGAGCATAAGATGAGATTTTCTTGTAGAGCAATTCATATGGCTTGATTCCTTCATTGGCTACGGTTGGTTGAAGTTCTATTAATGAGTGAGTCACTGCCAAAACACATTCTCCTTCAAAAGAAAGTGACAAATTAACATGAAACCTTAATGCTTTTGACACATTGAAGATAAGTGACCACTTTGTTGTGATGTTTCCACACAAGAAGTCTCATAAAGAATACCTTATTAAATAAAGAATCATTACATTATCAAGTTAGTAAACTCAGTTTCATTGTCACTACGAATAATTTTGACTGTTAAATTAATTTTGCACCATTTTGCAAAAGTTAATGAGATGAGATGAATTGAAACTTCCATTTTCTCTCTTAATAAATAAACTTGCAATTTAAGTTATCGGTGAGTTTGTGAATCGAAATCAAACTATAACTAAACTGAGAAATGAACAAAACTTCGTACAATTTCATGGTCCCAATTAAACTTATATTTCCCATTTTATGTACAGTAACAGTGTCCCTAGTACGTACAGTAATAGGGTCTCTAGTATGTGCAGTGATAGTGTCTCTAGTAGGAAGGGTGATGCTAATTGGTTCCTTGAGCTCACATGCTTCTTCAATGAGACAATATTTGTGTGTCCTGTAATGGGATGTCCCACTATCTAACACAACAACTTTGTGTTATAAATCAATTTGTTACAAAGTTGTCATGTTGCTCATTGCCTTTATTTCCCTGAGGTGTATTGTCAATCCATGCAAGAGGCGCTCCCCTGAACTCTTGTTTTCATATTGGCTTGGCCTTCACATTCCCAATTCAATGGATAGCCAATTAATTCGAAACATTTAGCTTTGTCATGGCCAAGTTTTCCACAATGTTCACATTTAAGCAGTCTTTTGTCACGTCCTCTTCACTTGTTTGTGGTGTGGAACGTTGCTCCTACTTTTGTTGTCTCTTCCTCTATCAGCCATCACCCGATATTATTCTCATTAAATCTTATTGAAAACTCGTCTAAGTGATGGCATAGAATCTGCATTTAGAATGGTTCCTTTCACTCGTGCATATCGATCACTATCTAACCTCCAAGAAAAAAGTGTGCATGATGATCTTCTTCTCTTAGCCAAGTTCTTGGGTGCACTCTAGTAGAGGTTGCAACTCATTAAGTTCATCCAGTATGCTTTTGAATTTTGTATATATTCAGTTACTGTCATGCTTGATTCTTGTTGCATCAAACCCAATGCTTTTGTATCAATGTATGCAATCAGTTATAAGAAAACATAAATTAGAGGAGGGAAGTATTCTCCCGGCAAACAACCGATACGGTTATTGCCTCTTACCAAATGTGGTGGACACGGTTTGACACCCATTCTCGAGAGCAGCCACATTAACAATCTTTTGTCATCAACTGCGCTAGAGAATTGGCTTGAAGTTAACAAACGAGAAAGAAAAGAACAATAATAAACATATGCCTCAAAATCTTGGGAAGATTCATAACCATAAAGTAGTAGTCTAAACGCTGAAGTCTGAACCAAATAAAAAGGTAAATTTTATGTCAGTGACTGATCTTATAAAATTTTAAATAGCCTTTAACTCAGTTATACATTCCTTTTCGTCGTCATCATTTTTTTCTCCTTTTTCACCACCATCAACCTGCTTCCTCTGGTGTTCTTCTTTATCCTTGGACTCCTGTTCCTTCCTCTTAGCCTCTAGTTCCTGACTTTCTTTCTTCTTTCTCAGAAAATCTAGGAGCTGTTCAAGAGTAGTTTCAATGTCACTGCTCTTCAGAAGCTGTTCTGCCACTTCAGCTGGAGTCACCTGGGTTTTCTGAATTGCCTCCTCAATTTCTCGGAAGAGAGAATGTTGTTTAATTCCGAGGTAATTGGAAGCTAGCTGCCTAAAACCACAGGGAGTGCAATAGGACATGGGGACATGAACGTCCATGCGACCAGGGCGCAGCAACGCCGGATCTAGCTTCTCCTTGTGGTTTGTCGTGAACACTATAATCCTCTCATCTCCACAACTTGACCATAACCCGTCAATGAAATTCAGCAGCCCCGATAGCGTGACCTGCCGGAGTACCAAAAATTATTAGGCTGAAATTAAAAAATATATAATGAAAGTGAGCATGTTAAATTAAAGTTTAGGCATCCACCAACTTCACTGCGAGATCACCAACACCAGAACCTACTACAGTGGCAGCCAAAATAGTTTTCCTTTTTGGGTGAATTGATATATAAAGTTATTATATACCCTTTTAGGGGTCATCCTATAACTTTAAGCATTCATGCCACTGGCATCGGGGAAAAATAATGAGTTATATTGTTCTGATAATTACATTTATTATTTTTTATTATATTATTTATTTTATCACTTTTTCTATTGTACGATTATGATATATACACAGTATAACTTGACAAATCCTGTCTGTGAGTCTCTAACTACCCTGAATAATAAAAAATAGGTTCGGCAAAGATAAAAGAGGTAAAAGTGAATGAAATCATGTTTGTTACGATTTGTATGCGTGGCCATGAATCTGAGGTTCCAAACCCCTCCAAAACAAAATAACATTTTCAGTTTTCAGTGGCAGAGCAAAATCTCAGTAATTGACATGCCCCGCGCCTGTCCCTGACCTCACCAACAAATGACAGAGCAAAACAATTTTCCAATTTGCATTGTTTAATCTAAATTTTTAAAAAATAATTTTTAAGAAATTAATTTTAAATTATCAAAATATAATTGAGAAATGTTCATAAATCACGATAAATTACAAAGGGCGCCTAAAATTCGCCGCAATGTTAAAATAGAGGTAATGCAATTTGCCAATGAAAAGCAGCAATATTCCATCCAACAACCCACAATTGTCACAAAACAGACAGAAAGAGAAATAAAAAACAAAAATAGGAATAAATAAAAAACCTGTTTTTGATTGTCGTTATTTGCGGTGGCAGCTCTGGATTCGGCCATGCGATCGTGGAACTGAATGGTGCAATCGATGTCCTCAACGACAAGAATGGACCTATTAGCCAGTCCAATGAGCAAGCGCCTGAGTTCGGAGTTATACTGCAACTCGGTAAGCTCCAAATCATAGATATCAAAGTGCAAGTAATTAGCCATAGCCGCAATCAAACTGGACTTGCCGGTACCCGGTGGACCATAAAGCAAGTACCCTCTCTTCCACGCCTTCCCAACCTTCCTATAATACTCCTTCCTCCTAACGAACCTCTTCAAATCCTCCATCACGAACTCCTTCACGTCACCGTCAAGTGCAAGCGTGTCAAACGTCGCAGGGTGGTCCAAATTGGTCCCCACCCAAGCGTCGTTAGGGTTCCCATACATGTTCTGATAATCCACCGTGAAAATCCTCAACGCCTTGCTCTCTTGCTTCATTGACTTGGCTTCTTTGAGAATGAAGGGGAGGTAAGTGTTGAGCACCATCTCCTTGTGCTTCTTGTGGAATGTCAGTTCTAAAGAGCGAACCTCCGACTTTAAAGTGGAGTTCAGGTCCCTTGGATTGTGGAAGTTTCTAGACTCCACTTGACGGCAGGCGAGGGTCCAGTTAAATTTGACGCCGTTAAAGACGTCTGTTAAGGACTCGTTGCGTTCCATTGTGAGGGTGAAGCTTTTCTCCGTGTCGGGTTTGCTTACTTTGAATCTGTGAGTGGAAGGGGAGATTCTGGCGCCGAGGTAGGTTTCTGCGGCTTCGTAGATTTGGTTGTTAACGAGACCGTCGAACTCGTCGATCACCATCGTTATGTCTGAAGAGAAGCGCGAGAGCACTTTGCGGATGCCGCCGGTGAAGTAGTCCCGGAACTCCGCCGGGAGGATTTCGCTGGCCACCGACCGGATCACCATTGCGGTGGCGGCCACGGATGCGGCTGTGGAGAGCACCGTCTTCGCGGTGGTGAGGTGGGACTCCGTCGTGGGGGAAGAAAAAAAGGAGGACATTTTTCATATATATATATATATATATATATATATATATATATATATATAAATGTATATTTTTATACAAAAGGGTTTGGTGAATGGTGGGAAAGGAAATGGTGTTTTGTTGTGTCAATGAATTGGGAGGGGTGTTTTGTGGTTCTTATAGTAGCAGTGTAGTGTTATCTGCATTGCTGATTTGGAATGCAAATTTTCAAATGAGAAGAACCCGAGAAGCATCGAAGGGGCTTCGTAAATGTTACTGACCCAACAACGTATTTGACCGAGTAGACTTGCTGATCAAGGAAAAAGCACTTCTCTTTCTTTCTTTCTTTCTTTTTTAAAAGAGCAGTGTTATTCGTACAAAAATTTTATATAATTTAGAAAATATGAAAAAATTAAGTAATGTGATAAAAAGAACTTTATAAAGTTGTTATTACATAAATTTATTTTGACAATATTATAAACCCTTTAAAAAAAAAAAAAACTAGCAAAGGAAAATTATACTTTTAATGTACTTTTTATTGAGAAAAACTCACGAGATATTTATTAAATTTCTTCTTCTTATTTTTTTAATTTAATAATTTTTTATAAAATTCATTTAATCATAAAATTATACATGTTTAAAAACATTAATAATGTTTCTCTTTTGTTTAACTGACATAACACGCCTTTTAGTATTTTTTTTAGTTATGTTGTTATTAATTGATAATGAATACTAGCATATAATATATGAAATATTTTCTTTTAAGACCTTTTCTATAAGCCGTACTAAACAGAAACAAAGATTTACGTAAATAAATATGATTTATGCAAAGTTTACTCAACGATTAAAAAATGCTTAAAAAACAAGTAATCACATTTTTTTGGAAGATGGAGCAATGTCGAAGTATAACGGAGGCTATGGTTTAGTTAAACTATGAAGGATAAACGAGTAGTTACAGATTACGCCAAGAGATTATAAATTCAAAATTTGGTGTCGGCATCTGTATCATAATAAAAGAAAAGGTTTGGTTTATTAACGTAGAGATTTTCTGCATTCCCCTAAAAATTAATTTTTTTTATTAATTTCTCCGTAGACTGAATGGAATCAATGGATTGACCAAGTTACGCCAAGTTGCTCACTGTTGAATAAAGACTAAGGTTGACTGACTCCCCCTATTTTTTTATACTGGGCACATGAATGAAAAATGCTCAATACCAACCACACAATTATTTACTCTTAGACAAAATCAAATACTATACCCACATTTTCTTTGTTTATTAATAGGAAAAACAATATTCAAACTTCATAGAATGAAGTTAATATCTCAAATCTATATGATACATTTATTTGTGAAAAAATATCCAATTTTTGTGAGGCAGTATTATAATTTTTTTATAATACATTGCTAACGTTCCTTGTATTTTTTGCAGATAACTCTATGCTAATAATATAATCGTATTCTTATTAATTACCATAACTAAGATTAATAGCAAGGGGCAAAACCCACTATTTTGGAATGAAATTTAAAGGAAGGAGTTCATAATCTTAAAGAAGTATAAAGGAAAAAAAGATGAAACAAGTCAAATAAATAAATAATATTGTAACTTAGAGTTCTGTATTTTGTTTTGATAGGATAGGATTTGTATTTTCAATTTTAATAATTCTTATTGTTTAGGAAATAGGCTGTTATTTTGTTTACTACGTTAAGTTAGGAGTAAAACGTGGGTTGCAGTTTCTTCTTTTTTGTAACCGTTGAGAAGGCTATTTATAAGCCAAAACTTATTGAATAATAATGAATTATCTCCCAGAATCGTTCTTTGTTTTTCTTTTAAAACTTTCGTTCTTAACATTCTGGTATCAGAGCCCCCACTGGGCCTGATAAAATAAAGCAACAGTCTTTGTAGTTTGCAGCAACAACAAAGGAGATGGCAACTGAGAGTAGTTTTGTGCAACCATCGATCCCTCGCTTTGATGGTCATTATGATCATTAGGCGATATTGATGGAAAATTTCTTGCACTCCAAAGAATACTGGAGCTTGATTGAGACAGGCTATGTTGAGCCCGAGAAAGGAGTGGAGCAATCAGAAGCACAATGCAAGAGGCTGGAGGAATTGAAGCTGAAAGATTTGAAAGTGAAGAATTATCTCTTTTAGGCTATTGATCGGATGATATTGGAGACCATACTTGTGAAGAACACTTCCAAACAAATTTGGGAGTCTATGAAAAGGAAGTTTGAAGGGAATGCTAGAGTTAAGAGGTCTCATTTACAGGCTCTCCAAAAAGAATTTAAAACTCTAGAAATGAAGGATGGAGAAGGAGTCACAGAGTATTTTTCAAGGGTGCTGATTGTGGCAAACAAAATGAGAACATATGGAGAACAAATGCAAAATGTCACAGTGGTGGAGAAAATTCTTAGATCGTTGAGTGAAAAGTTTAACTATGTTGTTTGCTCAATTGAGGAATCCAAAGACATAGATCAACTTTCTATTGATGAATTGCAGAGTTCTCTAATGGTTCATGAACAAAAATTTACCAAACACAGTGGAGAAGAGCAGGCCTTGAAGGTGACACATGAAGGAATGAGAGGTCATGGACGTGGAACTTTTAGAGGAAGAGGAAGGGGACGTGGTCAAATAGCTTTTAATAAAGCTACAGTGGAGTGTTATAAATGTCATCAACTTGGACATTTTCAAAATGAATGCCCAACTTGGAATAAAGAAGCTAACTATGCAGAGCACGAGGAAGAAGAAGAACTATTGCTTATGTCCTACATGGATGTAAATGAAACCTGAAGTGAAGATGCATGGTTTCTAGACTCTGGTTGCAGCAATCATATGTGCAGATATAAGGCGTTGTTTTGTGATCTTAATGAAGATTTCAGGCAGATTGTGAAGCTAGGAAATAATTCAAAGATGTCCGTGTTAGGAAAGAGGAATGTGAGGTTGAAGGTGAACGACCTCATTCATGTAGTGACTGAGGTGTTCTATGTGCCAGAATTGAAGAACAACCTTTTGAGTATTGGACAACTACAAGAAAAAGGCTTGTCTATTTTAATTCAAAATGGTAGTTGCAAGATATATCATCTGGAGAAAGGTCTTGTAATACAAACTAGAATGACTACAAATCGGATGTTCACACTAACTGCAGTACCGATGCCTCAAAAGCCTACTTGCTTCCATACAACAGTGCATGAATTAGCTCATTTATGGCATTGCAGGTACAGTCACTTAAGTCACAAAGGACTAAGAACACTTCAGTATAAGAAAATGGTACATCGCCCTCCTCAACTCAAATCTCCAACCAATGTGTGCACTGTTTGTATGATTGGAAAACAACACCGAGATCCTATTCCAAATAAAGCAAACTGGAAAGCTACACAAAAACTTCAACTCATTCATGCTAATATTTTCGGACCTATCTCACCCATCTCAAACAGCAAAAAGAGGTACCTCATATGATTTATTGATGACTTCACTAGAAAAACATAGATTTATTTCATGGTTGAGAAATCTGAGGCTTTAGTTGTTTTTAAACAATATAAGAATTATGTTGAGAAGGAATCTAGTTGTTCTATAAAGTTTCTACGTACTGATCGAGGTAAAGAGTTTATTTCTTTGGAGTTTAATGATTTTTGCAAGGAACAGGGAATTAAGAGGCAGCTGATAGCAGCTTATACACCACAACAAAAAGGAGTTGCCGAAAGAAAAAATTGAACTATTATGAATATGGTTAGATGCATGTTATCTGAAAAGAAGGTTCCTAAGATTTTTTTGCCTGAAGTTGTGAATTGGACAGGATATGTTCTAAACAGAAGTCCCACTCTAGCCGTGAAGAATATGACCCCTGAAGAAGCTTGGAGTGGAAGCAAGCCCTCAGTTGAACACTTCAGAATATTTGGATGTGTGGCACATGTGCATATACCTGATGTGAAGAGAACTAAGCTGCAAGATAAGAGTTTTTCATGTGTCTTTTTTGGAGTAAGTGAAGAGTCTAAAGCATATAGACTATTTCACCCAAGAGCAAAAAAGATTGTCATTAGTAGGGACGTGGTGTTTGAGGAAGACAAGCCATGGAATTGGGATAGAAGCTATGATGAGCAAGTTCAAGTCAACTTGGAATGTGGTGACAACGAAGATATAGCTATGATGGATGACGAAAGGAATGAAGTTGAGAATGAAGAAAATGAAGAGGTCACTAGAAAGATGGGGGTCAACTCTTCCAATTCAGAAAATATAGTTGTGTCATCAGATACCAATGAAGCAAGGATTCGTCTTGCTCCAGTGTGGATGAGAGACTATATAAGTGATGAAAGTCATCTAGAGGAAGAAGTTGAAGCTAATTTAGCAATGCTTACTCTCGCTGATCCAATACACTTTGAAGAAGCTGTGAAATATGAGAAATGGAGGGCAGCTATGGATTCTGAAATGGATGCTATAAAAATAAATGACACATGGCAACTCACTAAATTACCAGCTGGTGCAAAGAAAATTGGGGTTAAATGGGTCTACAAGACTAAGCTGAAGGAGAATGGAGAGATAGATAAGCATAAGGCTCGATTAGTGGCAAAAGGCTATGCACAACAACAGGGAATTGATTATGATGAGGTTTTTGCACCTGTTGCAAGAATGGATATAATGAGGATAATTATAGCAGTTGCAACACAAAAAGGATGGTCAATCTACCAACTTGATGTGAAATCTACATTTTTGCTTGAGGAACTAAATGATGAAGTATATGTAGAGCAACCTAAAGGTTATGTACAGAAAGATGATCCTCAAAAGGTTTACAAGTTAAAGAAAGCCTTGTATGAACTTAAACAAGCTCCACGAGCTTGGTTTAGTCGTATTGAGGCTCATTTCATGAGTGAAGACTTCACGAGATGCCATAATGAATACACTTTGTTCACCAAAACCAGCAAAGAAGGCAAAATTCTAATTGTCAGTTTGTATGTAGATGACCTTATATTCACTAGCAATGATGAATTTATGATTCTTGAGTTTAAAAATTCAATGGTGCGTGAGTTTGATATGACTGA